GAGCTCATCTTGTCGTGGCAAATTTCCTCAGTACTTGTATATCCACAAAAGATTTGATTTATCCATCAATTTTGAAGCTTAGTTTAGCAGGTTACAGAATTCTGGGCTGAAAATTGTTTTGTTTAAGAATGTTGAAGGTGATTCACCATGTTCTTCTGGCTTGGAATGTTCCAGTTTAAAAGTCTGCTGTTATCCTAATGGCTCTGCTTCTGTAGGTCAGTTGGCACTTACTCCTGGCTGCTTGCAGAATTTTTTCATTCATCTTGACTTTGAGCAGGTTCATTTACAATGTGTCTTGGAGAGGCTCTGTATGAGTTGAGATGACCTGGAGTGTGTTGGGGTCTTTAGTAAAACTTGGGAAGTTTTCACTTTGGATAATCTCCAGTAGGGCTTCCATTTCATTGGGACAGTCTTTTTTATCTTTCAGGAATCCCTATTATTCATATGTTTGAATGCTTCATGGAGTCTAATAGTTCTCTGTGCACTGGTTCTGCTTTCTCTCTTTAACTACCTGGGTTAACCCAAAAACTTTATGCTCTAGCTGTGGGGTTCTTTCTTCTCCATGGTCTAACATATTTTTGATACTTCCTACTACATCTTTACATTCCCTGTTTTGTCCCCTTCATTTCCTTAAGCTCTGCCATATACTTTCTGTATTCTATATATCTCTCATCCAACTTTTGGTTCTGTCTTTCCATTTTCTTGTCCATTCCTTTTATTGTCTTTATCACCCCTATTTTGAATTCCCTTTCTGTCAAGTCCATTAATTCTTTATAATTAGAGTCTTCTGCAGTAGCTGCCTCATGTCCCTTGGGGGAGTTCCTCTGTTTTGATTTTTCATGTTGCGTGAATTTTTCTGTTGGTTCCTCCTCATGTATTCATTCTTCTTGTTTACCTTATTGTCCTTTTTGCTTCTCACTGCCTCCTTTGTTTCAAATGGAAGTCCTTGCTTTTAATGACAATATATTGCAGTATTTTGCCAGGACACCAGGTGACACTGTGGCTTTTTTAGGAGAGCATAGCCAGCAACCTCTGTGGTCCTTATTCCAAACTTTGTTGCCTTTGGTGATCTCCTGATTGTTTCCTTAGCATTTAGGCCCTGTTGGTTTGAGATCTTAAATCTTACAAGAATCCTTCATGGCCAAGTCTCACAGTGCCTCCTGACTTTAGTTTCTGTGGGGTGTGGGAGTCCCTCAGCCTGTCCCAAGAGTGGACTTCTGGTCCCAGTAGGTGGAATTAAGATGGCCATGCTTTAGGCCCCTGCTAAGACCTTCTCACGACGTTCCCACCATGGCAGCTTGCTGGCTGCTGAGACCTTCTCAGTATGGCTGCCTCGCCACGGCATGTCCATCCCAACCAACATTCAAGTCTGGTTGCTGTATACTGTTCAAGTCCTCCCACTCTTTCAAGCTTTCCACTCAACACGCAGCTTCCCCCCAAAATTGAAAACTCCGGAAAGGCTTCCTCCCATGCTGGATCTCTGGAGGGGGGTCAACCAATCACAGCAGGTCACATTCACTTGTGTAATTCATCAGTTTTCCATTGTTCCAGATCATGTGCTGTATTCAACTTACCACCTCCTCACTGCTCCCTGAGCTAAGTCTTTGGGTAAGGTCCCCACTCCAGGTATGGCTGGATTTTCTCTTTTTCCCTAGTCATTCTGGGAGAGCTCAGCTGAACAATCCTTCTGGTCCACCATCTGCTTCACCCCAGAAAATTCTTGATTAGTGGTTTAATATACTCATAATTATCCTTCATGAAAATTAAACTAATAGTACTAGAAAATAGACCAGATTTTTTTTAATTGAATCTCCTACTTGATAATAAAGTAGCATTTTTATAGCCTTTCTCTTAAATTTCATCACTTTCATGAGAAATACCATTAGGGTTTCATTTCTCAAAGCTGTTTAAAGAAAACATTGTCTTTCCTCTCTCAGATAAATGAAGTCCTATGGTACCCATAAGCCTCACACTGAATGACCACTCATCTTCCAAAGGCTTGTACTTTATCCTAGGCCCTGTTACTGTAAATGCAAAACAAAAATCCATAATTGGAAGTGGAAATAATATAGACAGCATCAGTGATTGATATTTAAATCAAATGATAAACTCTTAGCCTTAGATGCTAAGGGCACAGAAAAGTTCTGTGGTAAGACCGCCAAAGGAAGGCTTGGTGACTGAATGTCTCAGTCATGGAAGCAAAAAGACAATATAGAAAAGCATTCTTAACTGCTTTTTTTCCATATAATGCAGAAAAGCAGTAGGTAGGGTACATATTGCTTGGCATCTAATAGCTGATCTTACATACAATTTGAATAATAGGTAGTTCCTAGCTAAACTCCCCCCTAAATTGCTCCATTTTTTTCTGTTTTTATTCCATTCATATGGAACCTACCCTTTGCTTGATATCCTGGTAGCGTTGGAAACTCAAAGACATAAAGATAGCTAGCTACATCTGTGCAGTGATAAGTAAGTGGTGCCCCAGACCAGTGGAACCTCACACCTAACTCTGAAGACCAAGGCTGCATGTAGGTAAAAATAGAGGCCCAAATAGTAAGGAGAGTCTGGTCATGTGTTCTTTTAAAACAGGTGAAAACTATGTTTTAAGTAGGTGAAAACTATGCAAAACATTATAGTAGGCTGGGGGTTGTTTTTTCCTTGAATATTAATTTCTTTCAGGGAATATTGGCGTATATAGGGCTTTTGTCCCCGGTGTTGAGTATTCTCAAGTTACAAACTTCTCAGAGGTTTTGTTTGCTGTTACAGCTGCTGCATGCATGTGTGCAAGTGCTCCCTCCCCCCCCCCCCCATGGTCCTGTCTCATTACTGTGGATTCATCTTTTAACACTTTCATTTTTTTACATCTCGTTTTCACCCCTTTGTTCTATTTCTTCCTACTTTATTTTTGTTTCTCTCATGTCTGTTTCTTTCCTCATCTCAGTTGAACTCTTGGCAGGTCTCGAGTTAAAAAAATAAATGTTAGGGAAAGAACGTTAAATATGTGAGCTTACCTTCTTATTTTTAAGTGTATAATGCAATATTGACTACAATGCTATACAGCAACTCATTATAGCTTGTTCACTTTATCTAACTGAAACTTCGAGGGGTGTCTTATCTGCTGCCCATGGGTCACATGCAGATTATTTGAGGCCTATTCTGCTTATCTGTGGTGCTGGATATCACAGACAGTATGCAGGGACCTTTTATTGTTCTTTTCTCTTTTGGGGGTGGGGACTCATCTGCTTTTGTTAGCATTTTTGTATTTAATGTGTGGCTCAAAACAATTCTTACTCTTTCAATGTGTGGCAGGAAAAAAGAAAGGTTGAACAACCCCTGGTTGAACAGACATTCGTGGTCTCCTCTCCCCGCCAGTCCCTAGCACCCACCATTCTATTTCTGTAAGAGTCTATTTTAGATTCCTCAGTAAGTAGAATGATTTGGTATTTGCCCTTCTGTGACTGGCTTATCTCACTTAGCATGTTGTTGTCCAAGTTCATCTCTGTTGCTACATATGGCATGATCTCCTTTTTCATCACTGAATAGTATTCTGTCACATCCTTACATACCACATTTTCTTTATTCTCTCATCTGTTGATGGACAGTTAGGTTGTTTCCATATTTTGCTATTGTTAATAATACTGCAGTGAGCACCCGAGTGATCCTGATTCCATTTATTTTGAATAAATGCCCAGAAGTGGGATCGCTGGATCATATGGTAGTTCTACTTTTAAGTTTTTGAGTCATCTTTATGCTAATTCCTATAGCAGCTGTATCATTTTAGGAGACAGCACAGCCCCCAAACTTCCCACCAATAGTATAGAAAGGGTTTCTATCTATTTGATGTCGTTTCAGGTCTTTTTGTTTTTAGTTGGTTCTGTTTTTGTTTTTGTTTTAAATAATATCCTAACAGGTGCAATTTGGTACATTGTTGTGGTTTTGATTTGCATTTCCCTAATTAGTAATATTCAGCATCTTTTCATATGCCTAATGGCCATTGGTATATCTTCTTTTGAGAATTGTCTATTGAAGTCCTTTGCTCACTTTTTTTTTGTTTTTTTGAGACAGAGCCTCAAGCTGTCCCCCTGGGCAGAGTGCCGTGGCATCACAGCTCACAGCAACCTCCAACTCCTGGGCTCAAGCGAGTCTCCTGCCTCAGCCTCCCAAGTAGCTGGGACCACAGGCGCCCCCCACAATGCCCGGCCATTTTTTGGTTGCAGCCATCATTGTTGTTTGGCGGTCCAGGCTGGGGATTTGAACCCGCCACCTTAGGTGTATGTGGCTGGCACCCTAGCCGGTTGAGCTATAGGCGCCGAGCCCCTTTGCTCACTTTTAATTGAGTTATTTGGATTACTGAGTCATAGGAATTACTTAAATATTTTGGAGATTAACTCCTTTTACATGTGTGGTTTACAGATACTTTTTTCCCATTCTGTAAGTTGATTTTTCACTGTTAATTGTTTCCTTTGCTGTGAGAAGCTTTTTAGTTTGATGTAGTCCCACCTGTTTGTTTTTGCTTTTGTTGCCTGTATTTTTTATGTCCTATCTAAGAAACCATTGCTGAGACCAACGTCAAGGACCTGTTTTTCTGCTAGGAGTGTTACAGTGTCAGGTCTTACATCTGAGTGTTTAGTCCATTGTGAGTTGATCTTCATGAGTGATATAAGATAAAGATCCAGTGTCATTCATTTGCATGTGGATATCCAGTTTTCCCATCACCACTGTTGGTGAAACTATCTTTTCCCCATATGTATTCTTAGTGCCTGTACTGAAGATCAGTTGACTGCATATGTTTGGCCTCATTTCTGGGTTCTCTGTTCTGTTCCAGGGCTTAACTTTTATATCTCCTGTTTTCTAGCATACCATTCAGTGAGCCTACCTCTCTTCCCATCTGTTTTTATTTTTGTGAGTGATTGAACTTCTGCATTTTAAAACCTCCTAGAGAGTTGAAGACACCTGATAGTTGAGTTAGAAATGATACTTAATTTGTTGTTATGTTTCAGGTCTATCATATGCAAGTCACACGGTTGGTTTCACACCACCAACTTCACTGACCAGAGCCGGAATGTCTTACTACAATTCCCCCGGTCTTCATGTGCAGCACATGGGAACGTCCCATGGTATCACAGTAAGTGTCCATGGGGTAGGAAATAGCACTTGTATTCCTGATGGTGGTGCCAGCTATCCTCATAGGAGACCAGGATTGATGTTCGTGGACATTTATCTCCCTTCACTCATCAGTTCACCTTAAAACTATAGAAGCTTCTGGGTGGGTGAGATGGCTCACACCTGTAATCCTAGCACTCTAGGAAGCTGAGGGAGAAGGATCCTTTGAGCTAAGGAGTTCAAGACCAGCCTAAGCAAGAGAAATACCTTGTCTTTACTAAAAATAGAAAAATTAGCCAGGCGTGGTGGCGCATGCCTATAGTTCCAGCTACTTGGAAGGCTGTGGCAAGAGGGTTGCTTGAACTCAGAAATTTGAAGTTACAGTGAGTTAGGCTAATGCCATAGTATTCTAGCCTGGGCAACAGAGTGAGATTCTTTCGTGGCGGGGGAGGAGGGGAGCAAAAAAAAAAAAAATACTGTAAGTTTTTCCAACAGTCTGATACGGAATTCTGGTGTTGAAACTAAAATCCTTCCCAGGAGGCAAAACTTCACCTTCACTTCCTGTGAAAAATTACCTATTGTGAAATATAATTTGACCTGTGATCAATGCTTTGATTGAACTCTGGCCAGCTCCTTGAAATAAAGAATTATTGTTTGCTGCCATAATGTCTAAACATATTTATGGTCTGTCTCTTCACAGTCCACTGACCCTCACTTTCCTTCCTGGAGTTAGCCTTGTTTCTAGCTTTACTCAGAATTCTTTCTCCTGGAATTAGAAGGAAGCTTGAGTGCATCTGGCTCAAACTCCACTCAAGGGAGTTTTTTCTTTGGAATTGGCAATACAGTTGACTAATAGAGCAGTCAGAAATGTGGCTGATAGCATTAGAGAATTGGAGAGAATTGAGGATATTTCTGATAAGAGACTATTTCAGAGTACTCTATTTTTAAGAAAGAATTTAAGGTATATCTGAAGTTATTTTGACAGTTTTATGGACTTTATGTAAAATTAAGAACTTTTTTGTTCACTTATAGCTTTCAGGGTATGGAAAACTTGTTTGAGACAAATGACAGAAGGCATGAGGGACATTGTGACTCACAGAAAATATCTAACGGGATGATGTGACAGCCATTTTTTAGTTTTACCACTGTCTCATTGAAGCCCCCAAATTCAGTAGTGTGGTCAATGCAAGTTTTATAGTAATCTTTGTGTAGCTTCCTCTTGGGGGAAGTGGAAACACAGTGCCTTATGGAAATTTTTGTTGATAGTTCTGAAAGCAGTGGGTATAAAAAAGGAAATCTCGTGTTTCTTGTCTTTGGTGGTCACTTTTTCATTATCCTCCACAGCAAGTCAGGCTGTGTTGGAGATGAGCCACCTCTACCTACACTGACCTGCTCTTCCTGTCCTCTCTGCAGAGGCCTTCACCCCGGAGAAGCAACAGCCCTGACAAATTCAAGCGGCCCACGCCGCCTCCGTCTCCCAACACACAGACCCCAGTCCAGCCGCCTCCACCTCCACCCCCGCCACTCATGCAGCCCGCGGTCCCCTCGGCAGCCACCTCGCAGCCCAGCCCTTCGCAACATTCGGTGCACCCCTCCTCCCAGCCTTAATGCATGTGCTTAGTCTGAATTTCAAGTTGGGACTCGTCCAATGGAGCCGTCTACTCAACGCCAAAGGCTTCCTTCCCTGGCATATTTGGATCTGACTTATTTGCACTGAGGTTATCTAGGCTTCACTCTTCATTGTGTTGTAAATGTTCGTCAGAAACAGCAGCCAGTGTTGTGGGGCTACAACACTAAGCAGACGACTTCTCCATCAGTGTTTTACTTGAATCTTCTTCATGTACGTCCATTCCCTGGCTGGAACATTTGCTATTTGGTATTTGATAATTCAGCAGCAGTGTGCAGTTTTGCTTGGCCCCAGAGCTTCATTTTCCTGGCTTCTAGGTTTGTAAAAGCAAAAGGGATATCGTTCTTAACATTTTTCCCCCATGAATTTGCAGCAGATTACCAAGCTGTTCTTATCTGCCTTCTCCCATTCTAATGGCGTTTACCAAACACAACAGTAATTCAGCACTACAGTTCAGACCTTTGAAAATCTAGCTTTCAGTATAGAATGGAAAGTTAGATGAATCAGTGCCCAAGACACATGTTCTGTTTAACAGAGCTGTCTGCAGATACACTTTCCACAGGTTACCTCTAGTGTACATCAACATTCAAGTCTTGTAAAACAGGTGGCGGAAGTAATGAATCACATAGATGTACCTCTCCACATACACGAGATGGATGATTTGTGTCTATCAAGATGTGATTCCTTTATCCTTAGGTTAATATGCCTGACCTGGCCCCCTCTGACATGAGTTGATAAATGTTGTCTGACCCATCAGTGGTTTCCGTGGCTGACTCGAATGTGCTATTTGTGCTGCAGAAGGCAGTATGATTGTAACAAAAACAACACGACATTTCCCCTTCCAGTCTTCATTTGTGTTCTCCTAAAGTCGAGTTCGAGCAAATATTTTAAAGGTGCAAAATGCTATTAGAAAATGCTATTTGAAATGAACATTATAGGGATCATCCTGGTGTGACGGCTAGAAATTACCGTGTTGCTTGGCAGAAAAGAGGCTCTAGAGGAAAGTAGCACATTAGCATTGGCGACTGCTGCTTTTGCCCACTATAAGCAAGTGCAGTGTACAAAGAAGTATATTCTGGATGCGTTATTTCCATTCATTTAGCACAAATAAATACTTTGGTTTCACTTTGCAGTGGAACACTGAGTCACTCTTTTCTTAATACTCGCAACACCTCAGTTTTTGTTTTTCAGCAGTTACTGTTTTGTACTTTGGTAGTAAAGTGATTTTTACCACCTGTGTTTTGCATATTTATATATGCTGTGGATGAAAATAACTTACTAGAGAATGTATATTTTATGATGAGAATGTGTATCTGTTGGATATAATCAGAGAACTGAAAATTTATCAGTAATTTTTAAGAGTCCATGTTTTGTGACAACCACCTCTAATAGCTAACTCTTTATTGAACACACTCCTAAAAATAAGGAACCGTGACATTGTAGATAATTTAATATTGTACAGTATAGGAACCTCCATTTTTGCCTTCAAATGCATATTTAAGAGTTAACAGAATGAGACAAGTCTTGTTGGGTAATAGTGTTTGACTAGCATTTTAAGAACTTGAGAGTAAAAGCAACAGTTAGGATTTTTTCACCTCTTCCTGCTTCCACCCCAAACTGAGAACATCACTCCTCAATTATTTGGAAGAAATTGTAGGTCTGTGTAAATTTTATTTATAATGTCTGTGTAATATACATAATCCTAGTACAGTTCTCAAATGTGGGGAAAATGTTTGGCATTTAGTACGATCAGACTGTGCCAGGTCAAACCTGGGATTTTACCAATAGCTCACTGATCCTCCTGGTACATTTCCATTCCTAGGAATTCTCAGAGTAGGCAAACAGATTTTGCCTTTATGGTACAGTTTTTTTGTTTTTCTTATAGGAGAAGTATGGTGTGTGTTTACATTAGATTTCAATGGTATGGATAGAATCTTGCACTCAAATAAGAAAAGTCCATGACATAATGATCTTCTTCAGCTCCCTATCGATTTAGTTACCTCTCGAAAGCACAAAAATTAAAACATTGCCATATGGTGAATATTACAAAAGCACTCAGTAAGCAAACAGTTCCTGACAAATGCCTTTTAGAGACAGGTTCTTGACATTCAGACTTCTGCAGATACGTACTGCTGGTTCCCCTATGCTCATTTCACTTCAAAATAAAACCCCACTCCTCCAGACAGCACTTTTCAGCATAAGTGTAGTTGCTTCTCCCTGTAGACGTTTAGAACGGATAGAACAAACACTACTCTTTTGAATTTATGATGTTGCTTATCCCTTTAAAGTGTTTGACCACCCCATGTGAAGCCTCTAACACTTGGGGCAGTACCTGCTAGGACAATTTCTTAGCCATTATTTAGCCACCAGGGACCCATAAGATTCACATCCTGAGCCCTCACCTGTTGGAAGCTGACTTCCCTCACTTGGACATGTCTCCTGGGGGCTGGATATGGTTATTGCCTTTCTGTTGCCCACTTGCCCAGGTGAACCCTGGACTGCTCCCGGAAGGCCTTTGTAAAATCAGTAGCCATCTTGTAGGCAGGTGGGAGCAACAGTGGCTACAGTAGCTTCCTCTTCCTGTCTGACAGACAGAGACCCTTGGCTACCACTGTGCTGCTATTAGAATAAGTACTCTGTTGCCAGATTACCATGCCTTTTATAAAAAACCAAATTAACTTACCTAATACCTGACACCTCTCCGGGCTCCGAATTGCTATCTCTCATCAAACATGCTGGCATTCTAGACAGAATTCTAGAAATTTGTCATGTGTATGGAAGTGTTTAAGATTTCATTTAATGTACTCCTTCGTTGATTGAAAGGAATTTAAATTCTGAGCTCCTGAGATACTGACTAGCAACCATGGAATGAATGTGACCAGAATGTGGCTTTGACACCAAGTGCTGCTGTCCCTCTGTAATTAATTGGCTTCTGATGGATTCAACCAGAAATAATTGATAATGTGAATTTTTGTTAATTGTTCCATTGTAGGAAAATAGGACGTGTATCACCTCTTGTTAGGTGGACATGAACTTTTCCTGCACAAAGCCTTGCTTGTAGAGGATGCCCTATAAGGCAAGAAAAAAGCATAGTAACTTGTGCTTTCAGAACTCAGTATCTGCATTTTATCAGTACAGAAATATTTCTGTAGCCTGACCTTTTGTCTAGTTCTTGTCTTATAGGTAACTAACACTGAACGCTTTGTAGTGATGACTACCAAAGAAATATATAGTACAACAAAACATCCTTTTATTTCCAAATTGTTAAAGAGCCAGCCATTGATGCTGCTACATGACTTCCATGCTCAAGAGCCATTGCAAGAGATTAAGGGGTTTTTAGGTTTTGGGTGGGGTTTTTTTTTTCTTAGCTTTTTTTCCTCTTTAATTTTTTTTTTTTATAAAACATACACACAGCTGTTAGCATAAAGTTATAGGGAGCATTTTCTAGAATGCTCAGCAGTTGTGATTAACTGCCAAGGCCAGGTAGCCTCTTTTTGGGCAATCGAAGGAACCCTGTGTTCATGATAGTGTGGGTGCTGTGTGTGTGTGTGTGTGCACGTGTGCGTGTGTGCATTCATGCCTTAACTCGGGTTACTGCTCAACTTCACTTCTTGACTTAGTCTGCACTGTCATCTAGATTGTATTCTACATCTCGGTCTGAACTTCATCCTGGCAGAAAACAAAGTTGCAGGCACAACAGTTTAAGAATGCATTCCTCCAGAAGACTGTTTGGTCAGGTTGACCGTGAGCCTTCTTTGGACTTCATTTGGAACTTAGCCTGGAAAGCAAAAGTGGACTGTCCAACAAAAGGATGTCAACAAGGAAAAGAGAGCCAAGTGCTAGCATGCCTTTTGCCTCTGCATATCCGTGCACACTGTATGTTGTCCATGATAGCTTGTCTACAGCTTGACTAGGTTGGAGTTCTGGTAATAGTGGCAATTTTGACATTCTTGGTCAGAGTTTAGAGAGATGTAAGACTTCCAATTAATGTCTTATTTACTCCTTTATTGTTGATTAGTCTTTGATACATGTGCTGAATCAGAAACCTAAATAAAGATAATTTTTTAAAATGTACCTCTTGAGCCTTAAACTCATCACTTTCTTTCCAGTTTCAAGTAGGAAAATGAACATTTCCCTGTTGACAGAACTTTAAAGCAGTGTTTTCCAAGTTTTTTATCTCACAGTGCACTTGAACCTGTAGTTAAACTTCCCTGGCACTCTTAAATTATGTTGATCCAAAAAAATAGTAAAAGGCCAGGCATGGTGGCTCATGCCTATAATCCTAGCATTCTGGGTGGCTGAGGCAGATGGATTGCCTGACCAGCCTGAGCAAGAGCAAGATCCCATTTCTACTAAAAATAGAAAGATTAGCTGGGCATTGTGGCTAGTGCTTGTGTAGTCCTTGCTTCTTGGGAGGCTCAAGCCCAAGAGTTTGAGGTTGCAGTGAGCTATGATGATACCACGGCACTGTACCCAGGGTGACAGAGTGAGATTCTGTCTCAAATAAGAAAGTAGAAAAAATATACTCAACTGTGCTATGAACTTCTCTCAAAAATAGTGATCTTTAAAATTTTTTGCAGCACATCCATTGAAAATCACTGCTCTAAAGGCTACGTTAGTAAACCTTAGGAAGACGGCATGAGCAGGGCAGGTATGGTTTTGTTTTTTAGAGTGCTGACTACCCAGGTGTATTAAGTTTTTGAAAATTCACACATACGCACTATGACTTGTGCCCTGTTCCATATTTGTGTTATATTTAAATTTAGAGCAGGAAACCTAGGAGATTGTTAAAAAGAAAGCCATTCTTACCCCAAATGTTAACACAGAAACAAACACATCTACATGTATGTAGAGAGTTGAATGCCACTTTTGGTATGTTAACTTAAAAAGTTTAAATCCATCTGTATTTTTTTTTTACTATGTGGGAAGCTTGCTAAAATGAGCAAATTGATAGGAAAATATGCTACAGTCCTTCATAGACTAGTAGTCCATGGACTAGACGGGAGTCCTCAAACTTTTTAAACAGGTGGCCAGTTCACTGTCCCTCAGACCTTTGGAGGGCTGGACTGCGGGCCCCGGCACAAGTCGGCTGCTAAGCAGGACAGGCAGCGGTGCCAAAAACACCCAGCAGGCCGGATAAATGTCCTAGGTGGGCCACATGTGGCCGACGGGCCGTAGTTTGAGGACGCCTGAACTAGTACAGTAAGACATGGACTAGTCTCTTCCATATCCATTCATTTAGAAAGAATGAATTGTGGCTCGGTACCTGTGGCTCAAGTGGCTAAGGTGCCAGCCACATATACCTAAGGTGGTGGGTTCAAATCCAGCCCGGGCCTGCCAAAAAGCAACAATGACGACTGCAACCAAAAAATAGCTGGGCATTGTGGCGGGTGCCTGTGGTCCCAGCTATTTGGGAGGCTGAGGGAGGAGACTTGCTTGAGCCCAGGAGTTGGAGGTTGCTGTGAGCTGTGATGCCATATCACTCTACCCAGGGGGGTAGCTTGAGGCTCTGTCTCAAAAAAAAAGAAAAGAAAAAAAAGAAAACAAATCATCAGACTAATGTTTTATATATGTTTGGGGGCTTGTGGTTGTTCAATTGCATTTTAGTAAGTCTATAGCAATTAGAGTCCACAATCTGGGGAAATGCAAAATGCACAGTAGTTAGCAGGATTCTGTTTTAGGAGTACAGTTTGCTTTTTTAATTTTTAATTTTATTTTTTGTAGAGATGGGGTCTAGCAGTATTCACTGCTGGCCCCGACCATTTCTCCTGCCTCAGCCTCTCAGAATGCTGGGATTAGGGGTGTGAGCCACTACACAACCAAGAGCATAGTTTTCAAGAACCCATGTGAAATACTATTTGTGAGTACAAACTAAATCTGACGATTTTCTCTATAAAAGTAAATCTTCCGTGAATCTTGACTCTGGGTTAAGTGAGATTCCATTTTAACTGTTAATATAGTTAATTTTTGATTTGGTTGGTCATTTGGTGAAATGACCAAATGACATAACACCTCTCCACCCAGGGCAGCTAAATATTAGTTATAACTTGGTGAAAATAGTGACCAAGACATTACCCAAGGCCTCTGGATTGAAATCTTGGCTGCCTTTTCCAGCCTCCATCTTATCTATATAGTTGGTAAAACCATTCTTTTTCCAAATGGGGTTTGAAGAAAACAGAATTTAAACAAAGTGCTTTAAAAACAAAGATAGTTATGGTGGCTCATACTTGAGGCCAGGAGTTTGAGACCAACCTGGACAACATAGCAAAACCCTAGCTCTACAAAAAATTAAAAATTAGCCAGGCACAGCAGGGCATGCCTGTAGTCCCAGCTGCTCAGGAGACTGAGACAGGAAGATAACTGGAGCTCAGGAGTTTGGGGCTACAGTGAGGTACAGTGGTGCCATTGAACTTTAGCCTGGGTAAGAGGGTTAGACCTAGTCTAATAAAAAAGGTTTAAGTAGCCTGTGCACTTTTAAAAATTTGAATATCCTTTAAAGATTATGTGTCCACACTGTGCTTCTAAAATTGAAATGGTTGGTTTATGACATTTTTTTGAATTTATATAAAACTCCCCTGGTAATTCTAGGTCCTCGTTTTAACATATTGGCTATTTAAATACAAAATACATGTGGAAATGAAATTATATTCAGTCCTAATGTTGAATTTTTTAAGAGACAGGATGTCTGTCGCATGGGCTGGACACCATCATAGCTTACTGCAGCCTTGGACTTCTGGGTTCAAGCAATCCTCCTGCCTCAGTTTCACAAGGAGCTGGATGACAGGCACGTGCCACTACGCCTGGGTAATTTATTTTTTTATTTTTTGTAGAGTCAAGGTCTCCCTCTGTTGCCCAGGATGGTCTCGAATACTTGGGCTCAAGCAATCCTCAGTCTCCCAAAGCACTGGGATTACACATGTGAGCCGCCACACCCAGCCCACGCTGAAACTTTTAAAAACATTCTCTTTAGGGAGACAGGAAGAAGTCAGTGCATGTTAAGTTATAGTTTATGTTTAATGTATATGTTGACATAAGAAGTTGAATTCCTGTTCCTTAAACTTTTCTATCTTATGTATTATCCCTAATTTCATATTGCACTGAGTACTTTTGGGCCATAAATATTTAGTTCTTTTTTGCAAAAGTCTTTAACTTTCTGATACCGTACTAATAATTTAGTGCAACTTTTAGGACCTTAATAATCTAATCATTTTTCAATATATATTTTTCACCTTAATAAATAAAAGGAAAGCGAGCATGGTGGCTCCTACCTATAATCCTAGCATTTTGGGAGACCGAGGCAGGTGAATTGTTTGAACTCAGGAGTTCTAGACCAGCCTGAGCCAGAGTGAGACCCGGTCTCTACAAAAAATAGAAGAACTGGCTAGGTGTTGTGGTGGGCACCTGTAGTCCCAGCTACTTGGGAGGCTGAGGCAAGAAGATCACTTGAGTCCAAGAGTTTGAAGTTGCTGTGAGCTGTGGTGCTACGGCACTCTACCAAGGATGACACAATGAGACTCTGTCTTAAAAAAGAAAAGAAAAAGACTAAAAAGAAAGGCCAGACTCAGAAGCATGGCAGATGACAGGATTAGACTCAGAAGCATGGCAGATGACAGGATTAGACTCAGAAGCATGGCAGATGACAGGATTGTTTTCACGGAATGTGAAAGCAGCAATTACAAACATTTCCATGTGTTTAAAAAGGCAGAGGGACACAGGGGAATGTAAAGTATAAGAATGGTAAGAAAAATAGACTCAAATCGACCTTTACAGAGAAAAAATATAATATCTGAAATTTAAAACAATAAAAACTTCTTTTAAGCCCTTTGTGGATTGAGGTTCATGCTCTTTTTATGTACTTGAGAGACATTAAAAGGCAACCAGCTAAATTCAAGCCTGTTTGACTTAACTTTCCTTCTCCTGCGAAGAGCTTTGCCTGGGTTCTGGTGGCCGTTATCAGGAAATCATTAACTCTGGGGACTTTGCTACACCGATTAGTCACTTTACCATGGGCCATGAAGCCACAAGGTATAAGGGTACTGTAGAAAGTGTCCTGTGAGTTCAAGTCTGGTCTAAGCCAGTACAGTTTTCTGAGCTGTGTCTGTAGAATCAAATAAGTTAGTGTTAAAGCTTTATAAGGTTTTTGTACTGCAGCCTCTTCACTTATTTCCAGTATTATCATTTTACTCATTCTATAACTACTCTTAAAACACCTATTCTGTCAGCCATTGAGGGTGCAGTGGAGAGCAAGAAAGCTTCGGTTCCTTCTCTTTCGGCGCTCAATTAAATCTAGTTCACAACTTCACTAAGTGTTGGGATTGGGACCCCACAGTGGCAGAAGGATGGAAGGGCCAGGGAAGACTTCCAAAGGAATTGATCTTTAAGTAGAGTCTTGGCAAACAGGTGAGATTTAGGTTAAAGGCTAAAAGATTGAGGTGTAAGAGCCTCACACCCAGTAGTGACCGTTTGGGATCCCTGAGATCAGGACTTGGGTGCAGGAAGATTATTTTCAAGGTGTGGAATGAGTGGAGAAAGTGAGACACTGGGAGACAATAAGGAGCTGGGTAGCATGTGGACAACTAGAACTCATGTCCACTGGGGTATCCCCAAAAAGTAACTTAGAATGTGCCTCAGAATTCCCACCAGAGGATGGGGCTGCTGGACCTGCAATCTACCAACTCCTTTTACCCATTCATTGAAGGTGCCTGTGGAGATAATGACCCCACACAGATTTGGGTTTTCTGAGTGCTTGAAAGCCTTCCTTGAAAGCCTGAGGCAGCAGAGATGGCAGCCCTGTGCTTGAGGAGGGATGCTGGCAGGGTTAATGAGTGTCCACGGTGAAACCAGGTGGGTTTTGGAGGTGTGATCCTTTGCACCATGTCTGCTCCAGGATGCCTGCAGGCTAAGTGTCTCTCACCACCATTGGGTTTGGCCTGATGTATTCATGGAAGTTTGAAGTACTTTTTAATTCAAGATGAGGGAGACTTTTTATTTAAAAAAAAAATTCAGGGCTCGGCACCTGTAGCTCAAGCGGCTAAGGCACCAGCCACATACAGCAGAGCTAGTAGGTTTGAATC